GTTGAAAACTGGGAATCGTCTCGCTTTAGAGCAGCAAGTGCCACCATGAAAAGATCGTTAATGCAATACAGCTGAAAGTGATCGGTCGGTCACTAGCTAGGCCATTGTGGGCATATATATATATATATATATAAATATATATATATATATATATATATATACACACACACACAATATTTAATTGCCCGGCTTCTCCTAGTATAGCGAAAGAAAGTGTTCTCTCGTCCCCTAACTAACCTTTACCTCACACTTGTCTCATGTGGTTTTAAGGAAACGAAATATAATTTTTAATAATTAACTTTACAAGGGATATAAGAGAAACAAAAAACATTTCACAGGGGTATAACTCCAGCGAAAGTTTATTTTAACTGACTGTTGTCATAAATAAAAGAACTGCAACATAACCTGGTAGCCAATTTGACTGTTACGTTGTAGCCGTAATAGTAATTGAAAGTTTAACCTTTGTTTTGTTTACGGGTTCGTTAGAGTTTAAAAGTTCCCTTTAAATTAACACACTAAATACAGACATGGTGTGTGTTTTATAGTGATATATATCTACAAACACACACACACACACACACACACACATGTATTTATGCCAACACACACATATTATATACTATATTATATATATATATATATATATATGTATGTATGTATATATATAAATATATATATAAAGTGTGCCACACTGAAACAAATATAATATTATACTATAAATAGAAGCAATATGATCCGTATAAACAAGTCCTAAAATGGAGTACATCTATACATGATTAGGGGTCGCATTTCCCTTCCATTGGATTTTTAGGGAAAAGGGGGATGTCTGTTCTCCCGAGGAGTCTCAGCTCCTTGGGCACCGGCGCCTATGCAAGACACCATAAAACCAACCACTCATGGAAGCAGCCAACCATGGAACCAACCAACCATGGAACCAACCAACTAACTAGTTGGCCAATCGTCATTACCTAACGACCAGAGGGTTCGGTCAGCACACTACACTCAGAGGAAATGCAAGACGGACATACAACCAGACTACGACCGGCACCATTAGTATTGGAACTCTGCGCTAGCTGCTGAAGATGGGGACGGAGCGCGTATGGGAATGCCCCAAGTGCTGGGAAGTCAACTCTTGACTCAACTCAACTTATTACCTAAGCAGAACCTTAGGTCACTAGCTTATCTCTACCTTCCCGTATTAAGTGGTATGTATTCTGATAAATGGAGATAACAGCTGGTACGTTCTTCAGAGCAGTGCCTACATGAAAAGGACTGGGTGGTGTGGCGGGTAGGCTGGTCGATCTGTTGTATCCTTTGCCTGTACACATATGCAGGACGACTCGTACACCATACTGACGGATGAGCATAGCGTAGAGAAACCATACGTCCCGTTTTACACCTGGACAGTTTCGTTTATTGTGTGTGTTTGTGTGTGTGTCTTTGTGTGTGTCTGTGTGTGTGTGTGTGTCGGCCATCTAGTCGATATCCATTAGCAAGAATCTAAGAATTAGCTTGAGAATATATAAGTATATCTGTAGACCTCATTCAATGTCATAGTATGTAGACATAAGAAGCTTGGTAATATATAGTTTTATCTGTAGACCCTATTAGATTTCATAGTTTTTAGATATAAGAATAAACTTGAAAATATATAGTTTTATCTGTAGACCTCATTAGATTTCATAGTTTTTAGATATAAGAATTAGCATGAGAATATATAGTTTTATCTATAGACCTCTAGATTTCATAGTTTTTAGATATAAGAATTAACCTGAGAATATATAGTTTTTTCTGTAGACCTCATTAGATTTCATAGTTTTTAGATATAAGAATTAACTTGAGAATAAATAGTTTTATCTGTATACCTTATTAGATTTCATAGTTTTTAGATATAAGAATTAACTTGAGAATAACTAGTTTTATACCTTATTAGATTTCATAGTTTTTAGATACGTTTAATGGGTGGGGTTACTACTGCTGCTGTTACTACTACTGCTGCTGCTGCTACTACTACTGCTGCCGCCGCTGGAGCTACTACTACTGTTACTACTACTGCTGCTGCTGCTACTACTACTGCTTCCACTAGAGCTACTACTACTACTACTGCAGCAGCAGCTGCTGCTCATGCTGCTCATGCTTCTACTGCTACTACTACTACTACTACTGCTACTACTCCTACTACTTCTCCTACTGATACTTCTTTCGCTACTGATACTGCTGCTGTTACTACTACTATTCTACTTGTACTAATGATTCATCACACAAAGACAAACAGTTCGATTATTGTTTTGTTGGATATTTCTGTTGCTCTAATTGTAACAAATTATAATGAACACTCCCGAGATATGGTGTCCAGCTGTTTTAAAACAGGCAGTCTGAAATTTTTAACTAATTAAATTTTGGCTGATCGCTGGCAACAAACAGAGAGAAATCGCTGACAAGTGTTGGCTATTTACAATCTGCTGAAAAGTTGGCCTGCGTAGTTCGGTCCACACGACGGTGGGCTTATCAGCAAAATGAAAGCTGGGTAAAGGGGCGCAGTGTGTTTGTCCAGGTGGGGGTATTTCATTGTTGGTGATTGATTGATAGCTTTGAGATGGGGAAGCAGAAAGCAGCTCAATATGTAAACATCTAAAGACTGGTTTGGGTGTGGACCGAAAGAAAAGAGGGAATGAATGAATGCAAAGAGTGAAAGAGAAACATTTTAGTAAAGAAAGAAAGAGAAAGAAACAAAGAAAGAAAGAGGAAAAGACAGAAAGAAAGAAAGAAAGAAAGAAAGAAAGAAAGAAAGAAAGAAAGAAAGAAAGAAAGAAAAAGAAAGAAGAAAGAAAGAAAGAAAGAAAGAAGAAAGAAAGAAAGCCCAAGAAAAAAGAAAGAAAGAAAAAAGAAAGAAAAGAAAGAAAGAAAGAAAGAAAGAAAGAAAGAAAGAAAGAAAGAAAGAAAGAAAGAAAGAAAGAAAGAAAGAAAGAAAGAAAGAAAGAAAGAAAGAAAGAAAGAAAGAAAGAAAGAAAGAAAGAAGGAAAGGATGTTTTTCCCTTACCTTGGGTCGGTATGTCGACTAACCCCACTAAAATCTGTAACACTAAAATACAAATAAAAAAGATGTGGGAACTTTTTACCACTAAATCTAACGACTTCAGTCGGCTGGAGAAGAATCCAATAAACTTTAAAATAGATCAACTGCCTCAGTATGATCAAGGGAAACTACGGCGAACGGTCATGGATACATGATTACACAGACAGATCAGCAACTGCTGACACAGACAGATCAGCAACTGCTAGGAAAACTGTCCCAACTAAACAGCAGAGATCCTGGCATTACAGCAGGCTGCAGAAATGTAACACAACAATAGTTCTGACTGCCACCCAGTGGTCATCTTCATAGATGTCCTATGGGTGCTACAAGCCCTCAAGAGTGGTAAACTCCCTCATATGAGATCTGAGCTAACCAAAGTGACTGCCCCACTGTGGTATATCAGTTCTGAAAGTGCAAATAGCTTGCAAGAATGAGGCAAAATGCGAACAGGAAGACGATGCAGTGATAGACCTGAGAATAAAAAAAGCCATCCAATCTATCGGAAGTAAACGAGTCCGGCCAGAGATGACTGCCAGTTACTTGACTGGCATGGGCGGGTTTTCTTTCTACCCCTTAGGACAGGCTGCCACACGCCGGGTTCAAACCCCGGTGAAAGCTGAGATTTTTCCGTGTTAACTTCTAGTAATTTCCCCTGGTCTCTGAGTAGTAAGATCGGACGCCCGTGTGTTTTGTTGCGCACCTAAACACATTTTTTGGCAGTCGGAAATTGGAAAAAAAAGTAGCCAAACGGCGCTGCCCGGGAACAATTTGGAGCAATAAATCGCAGGTGATACGAAGTTCGTGCACTGCGATTAAAATTTTCGGACTCAGGCTTGAGCTAGAATTAGAACGGAGCACTTATGTGTTACTATCCTTGTGCCATGATGTTGATCCGTCGTTTAAACCTAAGGGCAGAACATAAAAAACTTCACAAGCCCATGCACAGACCTCGTCTAAATAGTTCACCATTGTGCCCAGTTGAGTTGATTCAAGAACCGACATCACAGCACTTGGAGCATTCCCATAAGCGCTCCGTCCGCATCTTCTGCAGCCAGTGCTGAGTTCCAATACTAATGGTCCCAGTAGCATTATGACTTAACGTCTGTCTCGCCTTTCCTCTGAGCCTCGAGCTGAGTTGAGTTGAGTCAAGAGATATTACAGCACTCGGGGCATTCAGATGTGTACTTTCTCCTATCTTCAACAGCCAGCGCAGAGTTACAATACTGATGGTACCGGTCACAATCTGGTTATGTGTTCATCTTGCCTTTCCTCTAAGTGTGTGAGCCGGTCAGTCCCTCTTTTTACACCCATGTGTCTCATTCCCTCCAGGTCATCATTCGTTTCTTTATTGATTTCTGCTGTGCCCAGCTGCAGAGCATGTCCTGGAAGAATGACCCTTGTACAAACATTAAGAAGGAAATACCACGGAGTCAACAGCATCCTCAGAGTTGTATGGAACTATATACAAAGAAGATTCTATTTATCTATCTTCTTTTACCCTACTAGTAAATCACACAAGCGATAGACACCCGATGACACAAAGTGCCACTATGTGGATTAGGATCACCTGTGGAGAGGTCCTAGAAACCGCATTCAGCCATTAGACAATATTTATGGTCTGGCTATATTGCGGTCCCTGGCAAGAGCCAGAGTAGGGCTTCAAATAACGAAAAATTGCATCCCACAAAGGGATGACTAGATTTGTAACTTGGGAGATTCTAAAAACAGCCAATCTTACCACAAGAACTGGTCTGTGTAAATCAAAGAGCGGTCGCAAGCAATAGAAGAATTAGTATGTCTGATATATAGTGACGAGATAACAATATCACTAGTGTGTGCTAATGACACTGACGATAGTAACAATTGCTAATTATAAAACTATTGCACATGGTCTACTAAAGTGTGTATTGTTGTCTTTCTACAGATGATTCAGGCCATTCAGGTATTACGGTTTCATTTGCTGGAATTAGAAAAAGTAAGTCCTCTACTTGTTTATATTTTCAAAACATTGTGTTGTTGTTATCCCAGTGTCGGTTTCTGGGCCCCAGTGTGTGTGTTGGTGGGGGGTGGGGGGGGGGGTGGAATTACCAGATCCACTGGCTCCTGGTAAGCATGCCGTAAGAGACGACTAATATATGGTTGCTTTCTTCGAAGTCGACGTGCATCTGTCTGAGAGGCCAGGAACCAACTAGTCTAAATACAAACGAGCCAGATTTGGTAAACACATGCACACGCATCGAAGAAGAAGAAGAAGAAGAAGAAGAAGAAGAAGAAGAAGAAGAAGAAGAAGAAGAAGAAGAAGAAGAAGAAGAAGAAGAAGAAGAAGAAGAATGAGAAGAAGAATGAGAAGAAGAATGAGAAGAAGAAGAAGAAGAAGAAGAAGAAGAAGAAGAAGAAGAAGAAGAAGAAGAAGAAGAAGAAGAAGAAGAAGAAGAAGAAGAAGAAGAAGAAGAAGAAGAAGAAGAAGAAGAAGAAGAATGAGAAGAAGAATGAGAAGAAGAACAATAAGAAGAACAAGAAGAAGAAGAAGAAGAAGAAGAAGAAGAAGAAGAAGAAGAAGAAGAAGAAGAAGAAGAAGAAGAAGAAGAAGAAGAAGAAGAACAAGAAGAACAAGAAGAACAAGAAGTAGAACAAGAAGAAGAACAGGAAGAAGAACAGGAAGAAAATCAAGAAGAAGAACAAGAGGAAGAACAAGACTAGTGAAGGGCTGACTGGGGGGTGGGGGGGGGGGGAGTCTCTACTCCCATCTGGTAACTAACCTAAGCAGTTGAAAAGTGACGAGGACATAACGATGACCTTGCACACTTTGGCCGATAACAGTGGTGAATAAGTTGGTGAGAAACACTCCCTCAAAAGATAACAAAAGAACGAACTATTTTATTTTCAAAGGGTTGAGAATTGGGCACGCAGGCCCATCTAACATTCTGTCCCACTATCCTCAATTCTTAGAATACATAATTTCATTCATACATCAATGCATAGTAAACGTTATCAACAGCAGCTAAATATTCAATACAAGCTCTGGATTTTGCACATTTCTAACAACTGCATTACACCATAGTTATTTTAATTAATGTAGGCGAAATGTACGGTATTTCTATAATACTTATATCTTTAATTGGGTGTGTGTAATCTACGAAGAATAAAAAGGATACATGATCAAAAAAGGGCACGTCCCTCCATAAACCTTACGCTGTCAGCCCCCCTCTCCGCCTCGTTATTACAATGTATCTTCCCCGTGTGGGTTCCGGGGCCTTATTGTGGGGAAATAGACCAACTGCCTCCCCAACAAACATGTCGTAAGAGTCGACTAACTGGGTGCTTCCTTCTAAGCCGGAGTGCATCTGACTGAGAGCAATGAACCAACCGTCTGTATACAATTCTGTTAAACAAATGTGCACGCAACACTCTTATTCTCAGTATCGGCGTTTACATGCCATATTAACGATTCTTTGTCTTCTTCTTCTTTGCTTTCACTGGATTTAAACTCCAGCCGAAAGTTCTGGCTGTTTGTCCATCTCTAGACTTTAGTCTTGAATCAGAACCAAAGGTTTTCTAAATGTGATAAAGCAGTCCATTACTTTTAGCGGCTAGTTACAAATGTAACTTCCAATTCCCACACATAAAAATGGAATTGCTGTGTTCATGTTTTTAGTGTAAGGGGCAAATGATGCCATATGCTTATTGTTCTGAACATTCGTCACTCGCTGGATGATGTGGTCGACACCGCGCCAGTCGCTTTCGTTTCCCTGGACTTTTCTTATTTTAGTCTTCACCTTCTTCTTCTTAGTGTTGACACCGACTGCAGTCTCAGCACATCCACTAGCAAACACACGCATTAAAAACACAAGGCAGCCGTTAGAAGTGCTAACACAAACAGTCCGACATTAGAAATGCAGCTCGACGGAAGTAGCGATTACAAACTGTTGAGCAGTTGCACACGTGATTAATTTTAATTATTTAAGGCGCTTCCAAGTCTGTGGTGCCATTTTTTTAAAATCTACGGTTCACAACACCACGTTGATCACATTCAAATGAAATCCGCAGCTCACAGTGTGAACACTCAACTCAAAACGAAGGCGACAAAACGAAGGCCTTTCAGACTACAAATGAAGGGAGATGACTCATGGTCTATATGGAGAAGAAAATATAATTCAGATCTAACATATTGTCTATTGCTACAGCTTGGCCAGTCTGCTTCAGTTTGTTTTATCATCATGTCGTTCTGCCGTTAGAGATCATTTACAGCTCGCATTCATTCTTCCTCTGTTGTCGTCTGACTGATACCAGATCAAGTAAAACTACACAATAGCATATGATCTGGCTGCATTCTCACTAGATTGCCGTACCATTCACTCTTTGTCTGTCAATGTATTTCAGACAAGGTCTTTTTCCAACTTCTCTCTAATGCTGGTATTCGCAACCTTATTCCTTCCTGTTCCACGTCTGGTACTGAGAGCAGAAAGTAACGATGCAAAGCGAAAGATCCCTTTTCACGCCTTAGGCGCATCGGACATATGGAAAGAGTGTACCATATTTTTACAGACCAATCGGCACTGAGTGGGTAATGTGGTCAGCATTACGCCTAAAGTAACGATGAAGATGCTATTAATCAATTGGTATCCTCAAGTCTGTGACCTATAATTCAATATTCTTCCATGTTTGGTAATGTTTGACTAAATCTCTGCCGGCTTGCTAGGCCAGTTGTATGTCGGTTCAAGGACAAACAAACTGAGCTGGTTGTTACTCGTTTACTTCCAGGCGAGCCATTGCCTTCTCACACTCTAGTCCTTATTACACTATATTCTGTGCAGATTTGTCATTGGTGTATTCCATTCCCTTACTGTTGGCCTCTGTAAGCACTATTTCTCACAGGATTTTCTCAATCAATTTCTCTCCCTTTTAGTGCCATTAACTTTTTCAGTCCCCCAAAGAAATTGTGATGCGTAATTAGCACTGCTGTGAGTCCTACTCAGCATGTCATATGTTCTAGTCCTTTTCATAGTTGGTCACAGTAGTTTAAGAAATCTGGCCTTCCTAGTATTTAGCCTCTTTAAAAACAATACACTGGTGGTTTTTTTTCCTATTAGTTTTTTATATATATACGAATTTCAGGTAACATTTATGGTACTCAAGGAGTATTGGTTTTGATAATTTGTCCAGTTCTTAACGTACCCTATACATATTCATTGTTGTCCTGTTGTGCAGTTATATTTCACACGAAGTACGTAGTCTATTTCTACAGTCCCTTCTTCTGTGTGCAATCGTTTTCGATATCCTAAATGGAAGCCAGTCGGACATCTTTGGTCCCTCTCACCAACATTCAATTTATGGATTCTTCTTGCGACCTGGCTTCCTAAAATTCTCTATTTCTCATTTCAGTGCCTATGTATTTCTCTCTTCGTCCCTTTTCAGCATATATCCCATTTGGTGGGATCTTTTTTGTGTACCCGATACAGACTTCCTTTCCCTCCGCTGAACTATCTAGTCCAAAAGCTAGCTTACATATTTCGTTCCGTTGTATAGCCTTTCATGTAGATTTTTTTAACCAGTTACCTAATTCTTAGTTTCCTTTTGACATTTGTTTTTTCGATATCTATTGTCTTGCCCGTTCAGTTTTCCACTCACAGTTTGTGTTTTATGGTCGAAACGTTCGAATGAATTTTCGCGCGTCTTTTCCATTCCTTCCTTCCATTTCGTCACATTTTATGTTATATTTAGAACTTCTATACGTGGCTTAGCCGTTACGAACGCGCTTCGTAATGCCACGGTGCCGGGTTCAATCCCAACTGGGATTGATTTTCGTTCGCTGGTTTCGACAATGGTACGGAGAGCTGAGCGTTCAGTAGGAGTGGTAAACTACCAAACGTAACATTTGCCTTAAAAGAAACCGCACTCACAAAACTGAATTAGTAGGTTCTGCAACGTCCTGTAAAGGATACGCAACCAACTTTATAAAGAAAAGAGCCAAATAAAACAGAGCCCGCCATGTCCGAATCGTCTAGTACCGGCACTCACATCCTGTGCTATCTATAGCACTGGCTTGTTTTAATCTCCAGCCGATGGCTCAAACCCATTACCAGACTTAGCAACCGCGGTATGTGAAGTCCTGTGCAAATCTCGACCCCTTGATAACACTGTTTTCCCCCACAAGCTGCCACTGTTTTCACTGCTTCTACCTTTCCCCCGTCTCCCGATTTCCTTTCCCTTCTAATTCTACTGCAGTTTTTCTCTCAGTTCGTTAAATATTGGTCGCCCCGATAACCTGCCCGTTCCTGCTTATCAACACTTGAAAGAACATTCTTGAAGGTTGAAAGTGAATAATAAAATTAACTTGTAGAAAGAAACGAAAGCGACAGAATACTAAACATTACTTATGAAATATTTTAGAATGCTCAAATCTCTTCGAACAAAGAAATACAATATACACAATTTCTTATTTAAATAAAAAACAAGAGATACACTATAATGTATCCTCCTACAAAGAAATAGAATATTAAAGTCTCCTTTCAAAAAGAAATAGCAAACATAGATAATTATTCTTCTTTTTTCGCCTTTCTAGCTCCTAGTGGAGCATAGGACATCACCCAACTCAGGCCAAGTCGTTAAATCCTCAACTAATCCATGCAGCTCTACGCATGTCCTTCCCATTTTTTGAACTTCTGTGTGTGTGTTTTTTTTCCTCTTCCTTTATTTCTATGCCCTTTGTGGTTTCCAGCGCAAAGACATTCTAGTTATATTGCTCTCATATTTTCTCAGCGTGTGTCCTATCCAACGACAGCGTCTTTCACTACCAACTCGACTCCAGATTGTTTAGTTAAGTCCCAAGTTCTACATTAGTGATTAGATCATACCACTAAATTCCCTCTTTTCTGCACAGGTACCAGTTAATGAATGTTTGTAGATTATTTGTAATTGTCTTAGCTGTTCACAACGTGTCTGCTTTACTAATGAACAACCCGACATACCAGTCTCTTATCAACAGAAGAAGAGAATGATCAAATCAATCAGAATGCCACCGAAACTGGCACAAGATGATTACCATATTATGGACAGACCAGAGCAAGCCATTATCCTTCGCCTTAGAACAGGGCACAATCGACTTCGCTGCCATATGTACAACAAATTTAAGATTGGCCAATCAGCCATGTGTACATGTGGACTGGCACCTGAAACAACAGATCACGTCCTTCAAGACTATCCCAGATTTAACGCTTTCAGGCAAAACCTTTGGCCAAACGAGACACTTGGGGAAGTCAAACTTTACGGGCCGCTTAGTGAATTACACACACACACACACACACACACACACACACACACACACACACACACACACACACACACACACACACAAAACAGTGAAATTCATACTAGAGACAGCATTGCAGAAATAGATAATTTATTTCATGCAAACGAAAGAAGAAGAAGAAGTAGTTTCTGCTTTACACAGTAGTATTGATTTAACATTCGGATTAAAAATCTCAGGTTTAGTAAGTATTATATTCAATTTCTTTTGACCTCCACAAATTGCCCTTCCTATGAAAGCTGCTCTTGCCTTTTGTATTTGTGTTTCAATATCTCTGTCAATTCCCCCATCTTTATCTACATTTCTGCCCAAACAGATGTACCACTCCAGGTCTTGGATTGGGATCCCATTAAGAAAGACCACATTACTTTTTGCTTGATTTATTTTCATTATCCTTGTCTTTCACTCACGGATATTCAGACCTAGCTGTTGCAATCTCACATTAAGTAGAATATGACAGTATCATTATACAAAGTACAACACATAGATCTAGTACTGGGCTACTTCTAAAAGAGTAATTAAAAAAAATAGAACTGTATAAAGTCCTAATATAGAAAGTTATTGCATCTGCGTGTAAAGAGTTAACTGAGAGAGACAACTATCTTGGTCTCATTATGTGACACTCCCTTTGTTTTTAGTAAAGAGACTTCAGTATTATTTTCTTTTTCGTTCTCCCCGTAACAGGGCAGTTGACAGGTTGTATTGTTATTTACAAATTAATCAAGTAACAGAAAGTATTGTGAACGGCACTCATAGAAAGAAGTAGAAAGATAGAAGAACACACTAGACAACATAAAAATCGAAAGCTATAGTTACCGTGCCGGGAATTAAACCTGTCACCTCCAGACGGCGTCTGCGCCTCGCCATGAATACAAGTGCACTATGATACATGGTCAACTAGGCACCCCCCAAAAAAGGTGTCTCATTGGCCATGTCTATCGTACAGCTTGAAATCCACGACTACGGAATACGGACAGAATTCCTTTCAACCCATTGAAATGGCACCATAGTTTACAGAAATTTATATTAACGAAGCAAATGTCGAATAACAATCACAGCAACAATTTACAAACATAGTAGACCTTATTGCTTTGTCTAGAATACACAAACATTTAAGAAAGGTATTTGAACGGATGCGATATCTGCACCTTTCGGCACAATGCACCCGATTTAAGCAAACCCCGAACTATTTGCTCTTTTTAGGGTAGGTGGGTAGGTAGCTGTTTGCCAATCAGGACATCACACAAGCGATAAACACCAGGTGACACAAAGTGCCACCATGTGTAAAGAGGATCACCGTGGAGAGGTCCCAGAAACCGCTTTCAGCTTTAGGCCATATTTATGGCCAGGCTACATTGCGGCCCATGGCAAAAGCCAGAGTGGGGCTTCAAATAACGAAAAATTTCATCCTTAAAAGGACGAGAAAGACATAGGGTGCACAACCCATCATAGGGATGACTGAATGACTGACATTCTACCCCACCAGGACATCACACAAGCGATAAACACCCGATGACACAAAGTGCCACCATGTGGATGAGGATCACCGTGGAGAGGTCCCAGAAACCGCGTTCAGACATTTGGCCATAATGATGACCTGCCTATATTGCGGCCCCTGGCAAAAGCCAGAGTGGGGCTTCAAATAACAAAAAATTACGTCTAAAGAAGGACGTAACGGATATATGCATATGATAGGGAGTGGTATTGTAACGTATGTTTGTTCAAGGTGATCGACCCTAATAAGCATGACATAAAACGCAACCAATTAGGGGTTTGCTGAGATCGGGTGCGTTAGGCCGAACCATGCCAATCTCTTTGTAGGGACACAAGAAAGAGAAAAAGAAGAAGAAGATAAAATAATGCATACCGGATCAGTTCTAATAAATCGAACTGGGTTTAAATTACAGTAGAACAATAGCTATGTAAAGGTTGCCTCCCTTAATGATTATCCTAATTGCCTCCCCTGACATCAGGTACACGAACTGTGTGACAATTTCTGCCATCGGTACATATCCTGTTTGAAGGGCAAGATGCCCATAGACTTGGTCATAGATGACCGGGATGGTGCCGGGTCTTCGTCGACGGCGCCAGCGAAAACATCGACATCAACATCGTTGGATAATATTGATCAGCATTCAGAGAACAGTCGGGATCACCAGGTGAGTCGTCTGTTCTGTTTCTGTCTGTGGTGTTATAGAATAGAATAGAATGGATAAATGGATAAAACGAACGAACAAACAAACAAACTTTGTTTTCAAACGGTTTAGAACAGGGCACATTGGCCCGTCTTACATTCTGTCCTTACTCCATGCAAACATTATTCATGCACATATTCTTTTAACAGACAATAATAATAATGATAACAATAACAATAATAATAATAATATATGTTACTGGCTGGGCCGTGCCGAGACCACAGGGTTTGTCAATTTTTTTGGCTGCAAGAGACAATGATATGCATTATGTGTGGTTTTCGTTGGCACAGGGCGGATTAACTATGTGGTGACCTGTTTGCTTGAAGCTTAACCTGATAACCTGTCTTAATTTGTGTCCATCATGTTTTCTTATTCTAACCTTTCTGCTATCTATATATATTACTGACCCGCCCTACATCCCCCCCCCCCCCCCCCACCCAACCAACAATTTTTTTCTATCCTCTTTCTTGTGTATGCCAGTTTGTATGTGTGTATTATTATTATTTTTTTCAATCTATTGTAAATAAGACACAATTTATTTTTATTTCCCTACCCCCTCACATTTTTATACTCCGTCTCTCTCTCTTCAAAACATTCATATTTTGTCAATATTATGTGATTATGATATGGATGACAGAAAGAGACGATTGAAATTTAAAAAACAAAAACAAGAAAAAGAAAGGGAGAAAAAAACTACAGAAAGGATAAATACGGTTGATTTAAGTAAATATTTTTTGTATAATTAATTATTAGAAGAAGGAATGGGCAAAATAAAAGTTCGAAATGACAACAGGAAATGACGGATGAAATAATGCAGTAAAAAGATTTTTAAAAATGAACGGTATCATAATACACATAGAATTGCCATTTTTAAAAAAAAAAGGGGGGGGGGAGGGGGGGATTATATGAGACAAACAAGATCAATTAAGCTAGAGAAGACAGAAACTGTAAGACCGAAAAGAAGAAAAAACCGATAGACGCCCTCCTAAACCGACCATCTCCTGGGCTGCCCAAATGGCTTTCTTCGGTGCCGCCGCCGTCTGTCTGTGAGGCATTCCAATTTCACTCGACCAGTCCTGGAAATCTGGTCTGGTGTGGCCCTAATTATTCCAGCTGAGGGGAGCTGCAGAGAGGACGCGCGGATCTGTCACTCACTTATCGATTTGTTATCAATCACCAGCCATCACGTCATCTGTGTGCCGGCTCTTCACTGGTGGCTGAGTGACGTCCGACTGTAGTGGACGTAGCAGCGTCGGTAAATGGGTGTTCTTGGCGCTGGATCAATTTTAACTGTTAAAATCACTTGCTGCTAAATCAGTACATGTTTTTCCTACTATGCCGCGTTTTATGCGGTTTTCTAGAACCATCTTTGTTTAGTAAAAAGTAAAAGTAAAGGTCCCTTTACGCCTTCAGGCGTATAGGGCATATAGGACTAGACTTTTTTGTGTAGATCAATTGGCTCAAGATGGGTGATGTGGTCAGCATCACGCCGGTCACCTTTACTTCCAAGGGACTGCACCCGATACCCACTCAGGCTGGGTCGACCTGGGAGTCAAGGTCAATTTTTGAAAACAGTCCGGCTCCGTCAGGGTGCGAACCCACGACCTCCTGATCCGCACGCGAGCGTCTAGCCGCCCCGGCCACGGCGACTCCCATCTTTGTGAAACATGAACAAATAAACACCACTAGTCTCCCCCTATCTTGTTTCCCATCGTGGAAAAAACAAGGATAGACACACATTTTTAATTATTATTATTATTCTCTAGTCTTGTATGAAACATCTTGAAAGATCTGAACATCAAGGAAAATTGGTTAATCAACAGCGTCCTTTCTCGAAAGCTGAAATATTTTGGTCATATCAAGCGCCACGACAGATTGGAAAAAAATTATAGCAAAAGGCATGGTACCAGGAAGGAGGGGCAGGGGCCGACCGACACGAAGATGGGTACGGGATGTAAGTGACTCCTTGAGTGTGAAAGTGCATGAGGCGGGAGAACTGGCGAGAGACCGAGTTTCTTTCAGGCAGCCTGTGATGAGAACGACGTTCTGCAAAGGACCTGCTACATGATGATGATGTATTAAACTACTGGACGTAAATTTACCTAGAAAAATCACACAACAGCCACCTGACTGTTGTAGTTGGTTCTGCAACGTCCTGTAAAGGATACGCAACTAACCAGTCCTGTATTGTAAATCTAGGTCAAGTTTTGAAACAGCATCAGATGAGAGCCTTGGTATGTGTGACGTAGGTGTTGGTATGAAAATACGTGAAAGCAAAGACTCTTAACATACTAGTAACTCTTTACAGACAGAGTGACGTTAAACCCCACCAGGATAGCACATCGAGCCCTGAACACCGGTTGACACAAAGTGCCACCATTTGGACGAGAAACCCCGTTGAACCGTTAGATTATATTAGGTCACCCGAAGACAACCGGAGTGGGTCTTAATGGTAATAACAATAATAACAACAACAAATGCTTTTGCTGTGAACACAGTATTATTAGGTAAGTAGGTAGTTGCATCCCACCAGGACATCACACAAAGTGCTACCACGCAGATGAGGATCACCACTGAAGAGGTCCCAGAAATCCCTTTCAGCTGTTAGGGCCATTATCTATGGCTAGACCATATCTATGGCCCTGCTATATTCAGGGCTCCCTTCAAAAGCCAGGGTAGGGCTTCAAAATACCCCCCCCCCCAACCCAACCCAACCCAACCCAACCCACCCACCCAAAAAAAAATACTGCAAGGATATTACTTTAATATTACTTCAAAAATGACACAGCATGAGAAAGCACAGACCCTAACACACTGGTCAATTTGTAAAATGCTTTTCTCTTTGTAACCATGTTATATAGTTTGCCTTCATACTGTCGGTAATCTTATGGATCAACAGAAAATATTTCCTAGTTAATTTTCCCCTAATATAACTATTATTGAAGATCAAATTTCATCACTGCTACAAATTTATCTTAACCCAGGGGACTTGTCCCCCAACAACAGAATATTTTCCCGTTTTTCTCTAGCAGTTATCTACCCCGCCGTCCAGTTATTTCCCCTGTGTGCGTGTAAAGTTTCAATAAATGCGCCCAGATTTCCCAGTGATAGGCAACGTTCAGGGCCTCCAATCTTACAGGCAGATCTCTCCTCCAAAATGCTGGAATAGCTGTTCACATAAGAGCCTGAAAAACATTAAACTTGTTCTTTTTTTTTTAAGAGCTTTTCTACAACAGCAAAAGATACGCAATTTTAAAGGGATACCATTTGACATAAGGTGCAACTCCCATTGTAACCGAGGCTGCGATACCAATATTATTCTTCCAAAACTGTGGGTAGTCGTGGCTCGGGTTTAACTAACACTTGGTCGTCGAGACCAAGGTGCAATATTCCACAGCCTCAACGCCTGTGTTGCTTTATGGTCGAGGTTTAATTACTTTTGCACAATTTTATGCCAGTTGTTGTCAAACGATAAGGGCCCATAGAGGTGTGAACAAGCTGCTGGCATTAGTCTCGGTGTATTGGGGTGGATGCCTGATCCTGAAATGCGATCCCTGGGAATATTTGTTATGAAAAACGTCGGCAACAAGCTTTCTCATGTTCCGTGTCACGAAACATCACCTGGTCATATTTATATCCTGTTTAAGGATATTGTTTACATTGTGGCTTTGTGTGTTTGTTCCTTCTTCTTCTTCATCTTCTTCTTCTTCTTTTTCTTCTTCTACTTCTGCTCTGCTGCTGCTGCTACTGTTGCCGTGCTTCTTCTTCATCATCATCATAATCATCATCATCATCTTCTTCTTCTTCTTCTTCTTCTTTTTCTTCTGCTGCTGCTGCTGCTGCTGTGCTGCTGAGGCTACCGCTGTGTTGCTGCTGTCGCTATACTGCTGCTGTTATTGTGCTTCTTCTTCTGCTGCCCCTTGTTTTTCTGCTATCCCAATTGAGCAAAGACCTTCAGCAAATTTACTCTCAAATACTTTGAACCCTTGATTGTCCATTTGAGCGTCAGCCAAGCGGTCTTGCCACTGCACCATCACGTCTCTAACGAGATGAGGTGCCCACTGCCTTATCTTTCTACTCTAACTTCCCAAAGACCTGGCAACAATTTACACAAGTCACATAATCGAGAAGAATATAATCCCAATTTAACCGAGAACTGAACGCACACATTTTCACTTGCATCTCGGAACGCTATCTGCCGTGACGCGCATTATTCTAAGTACTTCACTGGGACCCGATGGTCGAGTAAAGAGTCCTTATATGGTATTAGCTCACTGAGCGAAGAGCCAGATTGGCCAACACTAATAAAGAAAACAAAATCGCGGACTATATTTGTGTTTTATTCCGCAATAGAATTGCCCTTTTAGTAACTTTACTCGGATTGATGCCACCGTACAAAGTTCCAGACTGAGATCGATACCAATATTGTCAGAATCGTAATCAACCTAAAACCCATCGATTTCCTGAGACTGGTAGAGTGTGCTAGAATCGAGAACAATATTTCTGATGCGATTAAGTAATCGAGTAGGATCTTGCCTATTATGATCCACCCTGCGTATGAGCAAAATGTCAAAGTGTGGATTTATCAGGCGTTCGTCATTACTGCGTCTCTTCGCTTCAGTACTGTTAATACTATTATGTTCGTTAAGTTCTCCTTCATGTACATTCGGAGATCGGAGTGGTGCAGAAGTAAAGTGCCCGTCTCTAGCTGCAAAAGTGATGGGCTTGAATCCTGTTGAGAATTGTTTCTTCTTCTTCTTCTTCTTTTTCTTTTTCTTCTTCTTCTTCTTCTTTTTCTTCTTCTTCTTCTTCTTCTTCTTCTTCTTCTTCTTCTTCTTCTTCTTCTTCTTCTTCTTCTTCTTCTTCTTCTTCTTCTTCTTCTTCTTCTTCTTCTTCTTCTTTTTCTTGTTCTTCTCCCCATTCTCATCTTCTTCTTCTTCTTCTTCTTCTTCTTCTTCTTCTTC